CACAAAATCCAGCAGAACAACACACAAAACCAGACCGAACCAGACCAGTGCGCTTGTTTGGGTCAAACAGAGTCTGGTTTCAGACTCCATCGCTGTCCACAATCATATTCAAAACCACCAGGACTACTCCAGCTGTTGGTGATTTACTGCATCAGGATTACGGATTAGGACTTCTAAAATTATTTTCACTAACGATTTCTGCCTGACAAAATATTTTAGCACCTGACATAACTAGTAAAATGTTAATTTATTATGAAAATACTCAAGTTCCTTTAAGATTGTGTTCATTTAACGAATTTCCTGCTTAAACAGCTGTTGAAGAGGTGAAATAAAATTAGAATTATGTTGATTTTTTTCTCACTTGTTAAGATTAGTTAATGCATTAGTTAACAAACTAACTATGAGCAATATATTTTTACAGCACTTATTAACCTTTGTTAATGTTAGTTAATAAAAACACAATTGTTGATGTTAGCTCACACTGTATTAACTATTAATATCAGCTCAGGGTTATTACAGTAAACATATAAAAAATACTAAAAATGACAAAAACACAACAAAATTACTAAAACTTTAAATGAAACCAAATTATAAAAATAAAAACTCATTCAAGATATTATTTACAATAGCCTCTCAATTACAGTAAAAATACCACTGTAAAAGATACAACTTTTGACTTAAAATGTATTAAATGTATAAATTAACATTAAAATTAATAAATGCTGCATTGTTCAAGTATCGTGCATTGTTTTTGAAAGAAGTCTCTTCTGCTCACCAAGGCTGCGTTAATTTTATTAAAAATACAGTAAAAATTGTGAAACATTATTGTAATGTAAAACAGCTGTTTTCTATGTGAATATGTGTTAAACTGTAATGTATTTCTGTGATGTGCAGCTGTATTTTCAGCATCATTACTCCAGTCTTCAGTGTCACATGATCTTCAGAAATCACTGTTCACTCACCAGCGTACATGTGGAAGGTCAGCCGCTCGATGAGCTTCAGCACCGTTCCGGCTTTGATGATGGGAATGCCGGATTTGGACTGGACGTTCTCCTCGAACACGACGTTCTCCTCGGAGTCGGGCTGGGCGAAGCAGTACACCTCGGCCCCGGGGAGCCTCATCTGCTCCTCCTTCTCCTCCTGCAGCATGGCCGTGTCCAGCATGCGCTCCAGCGTGGAGCGGTACTGCAGCGAGATCAGCGCCGCCATCCAGCCGTTCTTCTCCTCCGCAGATTTAGCGGCGAACACCACGCTGTTCCCGTCCTTCAGGATGATCTCGAAGGCGTGCCGGTACTCGCCCTCCTTATCGTCCTTGTCATTGATCTGGACCTGTTCAAGAACACACAAACATCAACAGCTGGTATTTTGCCACATTTTTATTTTAAATCGAGGAATCGCAGTTTAGAATAAAAATATCAGCAAATGTTACAACTACACTGTAAAAAATGACCGTGAATTCAACGGTAAAAGACTGTAATAACGCTACAGTCAAAACCTGCTAGGATGGTTAACGGTAAGTTCCCCTAGGGCTGCTCGCTCGATTATGACAAAAATCATAATTATTATAATTTCGGTCAATATTGTAATCACAATTATTTAACACGTTTATAAGTGGGCCATATGACCAAATCTTTAAATTAATGCTTTATTTAAAGATAGCCATATATACCAGCATAATCACACTGTAAGAGTTCAACTTCATTTGTTCCTTATTAAAGCTACAGAAGTCGTTCAGTGAAGAGCAGTGAGTGATTATGTTTGTTGTTTGGTTGTTTGATTAATATTAAGCACACAGTCGCAGCAGGAAGATTAGGCTGCTGTCACTTTAAGAGCCGCACTTTACTGTTAACTGTTTACGTTCATTTATTACATGACCGACAAGGGATTACGTGAATAACCACTAAGCGCTGCATTTTGACACATGTTTGTGTGTATTTGACTGTTTGGGTGCGCACCTTGAGCTAAAAGATGACTTTACATATATAGCGCATTTACAGTAATCCTCTCGAGGAACAGCACCAGTTCTGTTTCCAGCTTTTAAAAACATGAATAAATGTAATAAACTTTAATAAATCAAGCACGTCCCATTTTTCAAGTCACGTTACATGATTTTACTGATTTGCACATGAAATTGGGCTTTTATGGAGGAGCGAAAGCGCACTGATAGAAAGGGGGCGGAATAATCGTTTTATCTCGATTGTTGTATTTTCATAATCGTTGGAGGCCGAAATCGAAACCGTATTTCGATTAATTGCACAACCCTAAGTTCCCCTTCTATATACGGTGAAAACTGTATTGGACATCGGTAGTCATTGTAAAAATGTAATTTCTATGGTAGTGTACCGTTTCTGGAAGTGAAAAAGAATGTATCATTTACAGTGAATAACCGTAAAATGACATTCCCAGAATTCCCTGTGTTACATTTCAAATTTGATGATTTTTTGTTGAAATAAATAATTCTGGCAACCACAGCTGCTGGTTTTTTACCGTAAATTTTACA